TTGTTGTTGTTGTTGTTGTTGTAAATTTCGTGTAAATATTTTAAGATAGTTTGGAAAATAAAGATTGATTACTATTTACTTTAACTTTGTTTATTTATTAATTAATTAATTTATCTAACTTTATACACGTTCGATGATCGTCATATTTAATATGTATGGAGTCCCGCAGAGATCAGTTCTCGGATCAGTAATGTTTTTCACCATAATTTGCTCCATTATTTTTTCTCACTTGCCTCCAGTTCAATAAACGAAGGGGGGGGGGGGGGGAATCAGATACAAATATAGATACATGTTCTGAGGCAGGGGAACCGCAACAGCTAAAACCAATTACTGCGGACCCTTATCAAAATACATTTAGGAGCAGCACGTTAAAGAACTAAGGAGACAACGAGCAGAATTACATTTTAAAGTAATTGATTCCATAGGCTGTACGAGCACTAAAGAACTGATCATGAGAATGTCCGCGTAGCACTGGCATAGACTGTATGCTGTATGCCGATGACACACAGCTTTAGCAGAGTCAAGCAACACTATTGAAACATTGAAAATCGATAGCAGATTGCCTGGAAATCAAAATCCCACAATTCATTGCGCATCACGATGAGATCACGCACGTGACGTACACACTACTTTTACTTAGACGCCAGCTACTCTCATTAATAATTAAGTGTGCACAGTTCTGTTTACTTAAGCACTGACTTCAGTAAACCCAATAAATGTACAACCTTGTCGTATGTCAGAACATTGACAACAAACCATCTACAAAAAAACAAGGGCAACCCTGAACGAGATGATGTCTGGGCTATGACGTCACTGGGATCTATTCCAGTTCTTTCAAAGATAAATACTCTATATTCTAGAACAATAGCAAAGAGTTATCAAACGTGATTAAAGAAAATTTATGAAAAGAAAAATAGGAAGAAAACTGAGAATCATGACAATAAAACTGTAATGTTTTGAATAATACTACAATAGACTAAATAATCATGTAACCTTTAAACATGTCAAAAAAATATGAAAAAAAAAAAAAAAAGATCCAGAAGATCCAATTACGTAATTAAAAAACCAGAATAGTGACAGAACGCTTGGTATCAGTCGGGAATACCACCTTCAGTCAAGTATTTGTCAGGTTTTCGTTCATATCTGTTGACTGTGCAGCATTCGTTATGGCATCGAAGACAGTCAGGAAGAAAATAAAAGTCGAACCGAAAAGAAAGACGTCCATCATTGAAAAACTGTCCCCTTCAAAGCATCAAGAATCCTCTGAGGTGTCACTTTCAACGTATTACTTGGATGTTCTAGATCTACCAGTCGACCCAATACAACACCCGGAAATAGACGAAAGAAAGATTGCTTGTAGTTCTGCCGGCGATTCTACAGACGAAAAAAACAGCAACCCTGGACAAGTTAAAGATTTTGTTACCAGACATCCACCAGAGGCGACCTCCAAGGAAAGAAGTTGTCGTTTACTGGAAGGAAGTTGTCTTCATGTTATGTTGTTGTACGTAATGACGTTGGTATCCCTTACGACACTGGTGTTCATGGTTCTTTTTATGTTTGGCATGGTACGATTTTCAAGTGGAGGTTGTAAGTGCTCAACTCAAGGGGATTATAGCTCTAACGGTATGTGAACTATTTCATGAAGTTAGACTGGCTTTAACGGGTTTAATAGACATCACACATCCTGATTGGGAGGCTGTGTGATACAGTCAAAATATTTCTTCTCATAAATTGATGTTTTTCCAATTCATAGAGTTTGACCCAAAAGATGACGTCTGAGTACCGAACGATTATTCATAAGGAAGAAGTCAAAGTTTTCGGCCGGGGCTTAATTAAAGTTAAGATAAAAGCAACACCAGTGTTTGTAGGAGGTGAATGGGATCTATCCTTGTCATAATCTTATCTTTCTTTATTTAGTTAAGCGATCAGCAGTTGTTGCGAATCAAAGCAAGCCTGTTGCACGATACATGCTTTTAAATTTTAGTTGGGAATGATAAATAGTAAAACTAGACGATGTTTACAGGATCAAGGATGCTATGTTTAGCGGAAGTTTAATGCGTGTAAAATTCGAACAAGTTCAACTTTGACAAAAAGGGAAAAAAATAAAAAGTATATAAATATTTATAGCTCATTGAGGCAGGACAATGGTTACTGTAGAACATAAGGGACGATCCATACCAAAGGGTGGTAGTGGTGGTGAGGGAAAGGAGGGATCAATCAATCAATCAATCAATCAATCAATCAATCAATCAATCAATCAATCAATCAATCAATCAATCAATCAATAATCAATCAATCAATCAATCAATCAATTAACTTTATCTATCTACGGTAGACGGCTCAGCAAACTGATTTTCAGACTTGCCGTGCTAAGATGTGCACTACAACTCGATTGGAGCTTTTCTTTCTGCTATTTAGAAAAACAAAGAACCAGCAAAGAAATCATGATTAAGAATTCGACAAGAAAACTGTCTAGGTATACAAAGAGAAATGACTGCCATGCCGGCAAGGTCGCGGAAATCTAAAGCATCCATTACATTCGGGTAGTATTGGTCTCTTGAGTATCCCATCATGCCCTTCGTGAGCTAATGATATTTTGAAATTATTTTTCATACAGTATTGAACAGCACTAGACTCCAGATTCTAAGCCAAGCACTTCAAAATATGTCTGCTAAGGTAATATTTACATCACTACTTAATAGCGTTATAATAAATGGTCAATAATTGGAGGTTTTCATGGACTTTATTCCGCTCTAAACATACAACAACGAAGAACGAGCACGAGGCGTCGTCACGTGATCCATCACTAGTTCCAGGTTACTACATTCCTCCCCCCTTACTTAACACAGTCAATGTCACTGAAAACGATCTGGAGGTCTACGCTCCCTGGTTGGATAACGGCGTTCCACTACAGGATCGGGAGTACTTTCCACTTGAGCCGGGGTCGGTTCTGTAACTTCGGCAACTTTGGGTTCCTTGGGTTGTTCTTGGCGTGGCAGGAGTTGATCATGGTGTCTTCTAACAACTGTGCCATCTTCTAATTCCACTTCACCAGATACTGGTCCTGTTTCTTTGATGATTGTGCCTGGTAGCCATCTGGGTGACCCCGAGTAGTTGCGTGCTAGCACTTTGTCATCTTCAGCTAGGGCTCTTGCTCGCGCATGTTTGTCCTGTTGTTTAATCACCTCTTCCTGAGCCTTTTCCACTTTCTTATCGATGCTCGGTCGAAGTAAATCTAAATGCGATCGTACCCTTCTACCCCATCGTAGCCACATGGGTGTCTCTCCGGTGGTGGACTGTGGAGTGTTGCGGTAGCTGAAAAGGAAACGTGACAGTTTTGTTTGCACAGTTCCATCGCGTTGTTTCCTCATCCCTTGTTTGAATGTCTGCACTGCGCGTTCCACTAATCCATTAGTAGATGGGTGGTAAGGCGACGACGTAACGTGCTTAATTCCGTTTTTCTCGGTGAAAACACGGAATTCTTGGCTAGTGAATACTGTGCCRTTGTCGGATACGATCATCTCTGGTAGACCGTGCGTAGCAAAGGYGATTCTCAGTTTCTCGACGGTTGATGCTGTGGTAGGTGAGTTGACGATATGGACATCCAACCACTTTGAGTGAGCATCGATGACTAACAGAAACATGCTTCCCAAAAATGGTCCTGCATAGTCAATATGTATTCTGGACCAAGGCCTAGTAGGCCATTCCCATGGATGGAGGGGTGCTTTCACTGGATTCTTCTGATGAGCTTGACATGTTCCACATTCTTTCGCTGCCTTTTCCAAAGCATTATCAAGCTTAGGCCACCACACGTAATTCCTTGCGAGACTCTTCATCCTCGAGATTCCAAGGTGGTTCTCGTGTAATACTTTAAGTATTTCCTCTCTCCCCCGTGGTGGGACAATAACTCTAGATCCCCATAGGAGACATCCCGCATGKAGACTTAACTCMTCCTTTCTTGTRAAATAAGGTTTWAGATCRTCGTCATCAACATKTYCAGGCCATCCATATTGAACATACTTCAGTACTCGTGACAAGACTGGGTCACGAGCAGTCCATTGCTTAATCTTCGTTGCATTGACAGGACTGGTGTTAATGGTTTCCATGAGGTTGACGACCTCAGCAGGAATTGGTGTCGTCTCAGGCTCTACCGATAGTGGTAATCTACTAAGCGCGTCGGCGTTACCATTTTCTTCTCCTCGTCGGTAGACCAGATCGTACTCATAAGCAGAGAGTGCGAGTGCCCATCTTTGCACTCTTCCAGAAGCCATCGGTGGTACCGCTTTATGTGAGCTTAACAAACCCGGTAGTGGTTTGTGGTCGGTGTAAATCTTGAAATGTCGRCCATACAAAAATTGGTGGAACTTTTTTACTGCAAATACAACTGCCAACGCCTCTTTGTCTACTTGGGCGTAGTTCTTCTCTGCTTTGGATAGCGTTCTYGAAGCATAGGCCACGGGTTTCTCCGAACCATCCTCCATAACATGCGCAATGACGGCGCCAAGTCCGTAAGGCGAAGCGTCACAAGAAAGCACTAACTCTTTGGACGGGTCATAATGAACGAGTAAACGTGACGATTGTAACAGTTCCTTAGCGGTTACAAAAGCTTCCTGTTGTTTCTCTGCCCACTTCCATGCTTGGTTTTTACGTAGAAGCACGTGCAACGGTTCTAATGTGGATGCCAGGTTCGGAAGAAACTTTCCATAAAAGTTAATCATGCCCAGAAATGATTTGAGTTCTGAGACATTCTTGGGTGCAGGGGCGTCTTGGACCGCTTTTACTTTCGCTTCAACCGGGTGGAATCCATCGGCGTCTATTCGATGACCCAAGCACTCTAGTGACGGTTTCATAAAGTTACACTTCTTCTCTTTCAGCCGTAGACCTGCATCGGAAAGACGCTTCAAGGTTTCGTCGATATTCTTCAAGTGTTCGTCCTCAGTACGTCCAGTAATGAGAATATTATCTAGAAACACTGCTACAAATGGAATACCCTGTAAAAGAGTTTCCATAGTCCTCTGGAAAATCCCAGGTGCGGATGAGACTCCATAGGGTAGGCGGTTATACCTGGAGAGGCCTTTGTGTGTGTTGATCGTTACGTACTGCTTGGAACCTTCATCCAATAACATCTGCTCATAGGCGTGGCTAAGGTCCAACTCTGTGAAGGTCTTTCCTCCGGCAAGCTTGGTATAGAGGTCATCAATCTTAGGAATCGGGTAGGCGTCTAATGTTGACACTCTATTGACAGTGAGTTTGTAGTCACCGCAAATTCTAATTGAGCCGTCAGACTTCATCACTGGTACGATGGGCGTGGCCCAGTCGGAATACTGTACAGGCTCAATGGTGCCGGCTTGTACCAGTCTCTCAAGTTCTTGTTCAATCTTCTCACGAAGCGCATAAGGTACTGGTCTCTCTCTGTGAAACTCTGGTTTCGTATTGGCGTTTACATGGATGTTCGCTTTCTTCCCATTTAAGGTACCAAGTCCCTCTTCGAACAACTGTGGGTAGCGGTTGATAACGTCTTCAAGCTTTGTGTCCTGCGACAACTGTTTGACTTTTGGCCAATCGATCTGTATTTCCTGTAGCCAGTCTCGACCAAGGAGGGCTGGGCCTTTTCCTTCAACAACATACAGGGGTAATTTTTTACTTTGCTTCCCATGGGAGACCATAACTTCCACCTTCCCCTTGGGTTCCACTTTCTCCCCGGTGTAGGTCTGTAATATGACGTTTGTCTTTTTCAGGGCAGGTCGATCCTCCCCTCCCCACAATGATTCGTATATTTTCTGGCTAATGATAGTTAAAGAGGCTCCTGTGTCAATTTCCATTTGCAAGGACTTCCCATTCAATGCAAGATTTGCTTCATAGGGTGGAGAGCGACTGTTCTTTATTGTATAAAATGGGTATGGGTCTGTCGCCTCCCCCTCGTCAGAGTTCCCTGTCTCATCAAGCATGTGGTGGGTRCCCTGTGGTCTTTGTGGCTTGTTGGGKTTTCCTTTACTTCGACAAGCACGGGAAACGTGACCACTCTTCCCACAAGAATAACATTTGGCATTTTTGTGATAGCAAGCACTAGATTCGTGGGGCCCATTGCAATGGTAGCATTGCTTCTCATTGTTAGGCGCAGGCTTCCTGTGGTTTCTCGGTTTGGCGCCATCATGAAACTTGTTTACCTTTGCTTGATTCGCATTTTCTTCGCTTTTTGATGCTATATTTAAATCTACAGCATCCTTTTCTGCCGTTTCTATGGCCAATGCCAGTTCTAGGGCTCGCTTAAGGGTTAATTTGGGCTCAGCGAGAAGGCGTTTCTGAATTTTTTCATTGGAAGCACCACATACTAAACGATCACGCTACATTTCGTCTAATGTCGGGCCAAATTCACAATACTGCGAAAGGTTTCTTAGTTCAGCTAAGAATGCTGAGATAGACTCACCGCTCTCCTGGTGTCTCTTGTTAAACTTGAATCGCTGAACAATAACAGAAGGTTTAGGCTTGTAGTACTCCTGTACTAACTTCGTCAGGTCGTCGAAACTCTTGTCTTTCGGATGATTCGGGGCGACTAAATTACGGATGAGCTTATACGTTTTTGCTCCAACGGTTGCCAGAAAAATTGCTTTCTGTTTGTCTGCATGTGCGATTTCGTTGGCTTCAAAATAATGGTGTAGTCGTTCGACATAATTACTCCAATCTTCGGTCTCGTCATATTCCTCGATTTTTCCAAACGTTGTCATGGCTTTTGCACTCACAGGCTCAGGAGTTGACTTCTCTTGACGTTAGGTCGATAATCTTCGCTTTTTCCTCGTCGCCAGTATAATAAATGGTCAATAATTGGAGGTTTTCATGGACTTTATTCCGCTCTAAACATACAACAACGAAGAACGAGCACGAGGCGTTGTCACGTGATCCATCACTAGTTCCAGGTTACTACAAGCGTTGATTAAGTGAATATTTCTCGCCTTAACTTACCTGATGAACAACTAGCGTCTACTAACACAAAAGGTTAGGAGACGAAAGGAAAAGAGTGCTTACTATTTTAGGTCATTGTATGATAATTCAATTCTAGTGCATTCCATATCTCAAAGCCCTTAGAATCCATATACATCCCCCACCATCCCAAGACGACAACTAATGATTGGTCACTGACATTATTTTTACATATTCCTGTTTATGATGAAATTGTTTGATGCAAAGAAATATACTAAGTAAAAGCCAYGGGGCGTTCAGTAGACATGATGAYTTACTGAAAGAAATATTATTTTGAAACTGAACATTTTTACTGTTTTATTTATTTCTTCTCAGAATCAAACCTTCTTTATATTAATATATACCCAAGGGAATGACCCGTCATTAAACATGGTGAAATGGATCGGGTCTATTCTAAAATTTTAAGATTATTAACAATTATATTTTTTAACTAGATTTCAGAATTAGAATCCAAGGTAAGAGCTGCTGGCAACAATGAGACTAGAGGCCGTGGACCACCGGGTCCAAAGGGTCCCCCGGGAATTCCTGGTCCCCCTGGACTTCCTGGTCCCCCTGGACTTACTGGTCCCCCGGGACTTCCTGGTCCCCCTGGAGTGGCTGGATCCCCTGGAGTCACAGGCCCTGCTGGTCCTCAAGGAGGTGGTAACTTGACACTGTGTCAGTACAAGATGATTACAAGTTCGGGAGTGAGACCAGGACCAAGAGCAGACTGTGATGTATCAACTTTTGAACAAAACGTAAGAGCTATGATACCGGCGCGCGCAGTCTATCACA